AAAGGAGATGATCAGGATTATTTGAGATATTTGCACTTACCACAACGTTCTGTGCTCTCATTTGGCCATAGTCATGTCGCTCAGGTAAATAAATAGGCGGCTGTATCAATTCCAATTCTATCATTTCATTTTCTTTTTCGCAGTGCAGGCGGAACACGAATAGCGAGCGACCTGCGATGCATACAAATACAAAACCACAAGCAACTTCCGCCGCCGCAGGATCAGAGAATCCGAGAATCCCAGAATCCGAGAATCGGAGAACTGGAGAGCGCGAACCTGTTCCCATTCCTGGGGATGCAAGATGCCATGCCAGCCATTCGGTGCGCTGCGATTTGAGATTTGCGATCCCGATGCCGATTCCGATTCCGATTCCCCGAATGCTGCAGTGAGTTCGCATCTTTGCTTCCTTTCGCGATCTTCGAGGCTGTGTGTGCAGCTTGTCGGCTTCAGCGAATCCATAATGATTTCATTGATCTGTCATTCAGGAGCTTCCAGCATGTCTGCAGTGCGAGTGCGAATCTAGCACCGTCTATGGAACCATGCTCATCTGCCATCGCGTGTGTCTGCGGGCATGGGTCTGTATAGTATGTACTGGCGTGCTGATACTGATACGGATACTGATACTGATAGCTTATCACCGCCGCTTCCTTGCTCATTAGAGCAGCTCCACTGGCAGGCGTATCAGTGCTTCTCCTCCGGCAATCCGAGAGATTCACCTTCAGCCAGTGACAATGCGACTGGAACTCAATCACTAGTCGGCCAGCTGAGCAGACGGATCCATTCCGACTTGATGGGTGCATAGATGCTTGAGGGTTCCTCTACTCGGAAGATAAGTTAACGTATTTATTTGATTAAGTCCTTCAAGATATTCAACATATTCGCAACTATTATATCGAAGTACTATCACACCAATTAGCGGGGCATCACTGTACTCACTTGCCCACTGAGATATCGCAGAACTGATCGAAAGTTGATTCATTGCGTGCAATGAATGGGAGAATCTTCAAAGCAATTCGCCCGAACAGCGATATCGATACGAATGGAAAACCCAAAGAGTTGCGGGGCAGGCGAAATAGAAATGGAAATGGAAATGCCGGCGTGCATAATAATAGTTTATTCGGAAATCTAATGATCAATGGGAGATAGCGGTGGCCATTGGGTCGCTGCAGCTCCCTTATCAACTTCATTCATTAGTGGAACTGTCAGCCTGGGCAGCCCCAAAATGTGCAGGGGGATGGGGCGAGGGCGGTGGGCGGTGGGCGGGGCAGTCGGGGAGGGAGTTACTCGAATTGGCAGAATTGCATTGCACGCAATCAGCTCGCTCGTTAAATATAGCACACTTCAATCAGAGGAACTGCATCTTGGCGACTGGCGGCGAGTATTCGAGTTCGAGTTCGAGTTCACTGCAGCTGCTTCATTCATTCGCTGCACTGCCAGAAAATGCATGTTTATCTAGTAGTTCTAACTCAAATATTTTTTGGTGGTGGCTCTCACATACAAATTATATCATGCTTAGCAAGATATACTAGTGAAACTTGAAAACTTTTTCCCGCTGATTAGCAATATGGGCGGAGTTTCTCCCGGTGTGCCCACTCAAAGTGTGTCAATCGGAGCGAGTTTCGAGCGAATTGGCAGGTCTCGTGCAGCAGGGCTTATCGGGGGATAGTCTGGACCCGAATCGGGAGCTGCTCCCTTGGCGTTGGGCTCTGCGGTGCCCGCCACTGATTACACGGGCACAACAAAAAATGTCATGTTTTATTTGCGTTTATTTCGTTCGGTTTCATTCTCTTTTTCTTGTGCCTCCCATTTGTTTGTGCTCCTCTTTCTTTTTTTTTTTCCATTTTTCGATTTTTTTTTTTTTTTTTGCGAAAACCCGGATGACCCCGACAGCCCCGGTCGATCCGGCGGGTTATCACCACCAGCCCCTCGCACACACCACACACACGTAGGTATGTAGTGCTCCATAGCACTAGTGGCACAGCCATGATGCCCATAGTACGTACATATGTATGTGCATATGTGCTATATCTATATGGACCGACTGCTTGTAATTCGCGTTGAGCGCGCGAATTATGATTGAATAATGAAATGCCCCAATGGGCAATGGGTAATGGGCAATGGGCAGTCAGTCGCTGCCTTCAATTATGCAAAACGGTTACTGCACTTTGCATTAATTAACAAACGGGCAAACAAAGCGAAATTGCCGCAGCTGACACAATTTTGCACGTGCTATCTTAACCCATTTTCAGATTCAAGTCATTGCTAAGTTATGAATATGATTTCATATGATTTCGCCTTCGCATAAAAAGATCACAATATATAAGTGTTTCTTATGTAATAAAGAATCCAGAATAGTTTTCATCTCCAATTGTCAATGGTTATTTTGAAATGTATCTGACCAATCGTTATTGGGTTTTCATGGGTTAATTTGGGGCAGATTCTTGAGCTCAGCTCGATCAGCTGTGGGCTGCCGGCAGAAGTAGGAGGTTCGAAATGCTTTTCCGACTTCCCTCCAGTGCGAGTGAAAATATTTTGCAGTTAAATTTAAATTAAGTACACGGCCCAGTGTGTATGTGTGTGTGTGTGTGCGAGTGTGTTTATGTGGCTGCAACATTTGATGCGCGCCTTCCGTTGTAAATTTTCCTCGTAGGTTGTCGGTGAGATGCCGCCGCCCGCAATGTTTGTGCAACAGCAACAGCAACAGCAACAGCAGCAACACATCGGCGACGGCAGCAACATTCTGTTCTTTTTTCGGCCTTTCTTTTTTAGCGTTTTTCAGTTTTTAGTAATTTAAAAATAAGCGCGCCGACGGCGGCCCCAAATAGCATCCGCAAAATGCAGCAGAAGCATCGTCGTTCGCTTGCCGCTGGATGGCCACGTGTGTGTGTGTGTGTGTGCGGGCTGGTGTGCACTGGTGGTGGTGTGTATCTGTGTGAGCAGCCCCAATCCGAAGCCAAACGAGAATCGCGTTCTGTTCTCGGGGCCTCCGGTCGGTCCGTGTGCGCTCGAGATAAACAAACTGCCAGTTCACTATCAATCAAATACCGGAAACAGCTGCTTTAGTTTTGCCATAGCCATTTGGCACACCAATACAGCGGGAACGGAGCACACACACAGATACACGAGATCGTGGAGGAGAAAAGGGATCCCAAGTTATAGGGAAAAATAATACAACTGCGATCAGTCGCTGTCTTCTGGGGAACTGGCAGTAAAACACATGAAAGTTGTTATATTTTTTAGTATTATATGATTTTTTTTATTTTGTAGTTTTCAACGGAACATACATTCTAAAAACATTACATAAAGTTCTTCTGGTTCTCCAGGGCATCGTACTGAATACCCCACGTACTCGTCCTACTCAACGCGTCCTCCATTCTACTCAGTTTATTTTATTATAATGAAATGTACAAATAAAATAAATATTCATTATGCATAGCTTTTGTATGTATAGAGTGCCTTAAATATTAATATTTATCTTTATCTTTATCGTTATCTTTATCTTTATGCGTGTATAATTTTTCTGTTTTTGTTGTAGGTCTGCGCTTCTTGAATTTTCATTATCGGCTAGGCTTTAAGGAGTTTTTCCAGCTTTTAGTTTGTTTTTTGGGGTTTTTCTTTTTTCCTTTTTTGTTGCGTTTTTGTTTAGAAGTTAGGAGTTTTAAGCATAGTGTTCAGTGTGTATATCTAGGCGTATGTATATAGTTATATATAGTACATATACAGATTACATATATAGCATATAGTAATGTGTTTTAGTGTTTAACATTAATCTTTAATTTACTTTTTTCGCTTGCTTCTTGCTTTTACGTGTATAAATTTGTTTTAAGTTGCTAATTTGCCACTGTTTTTGTTGTCATATTTCATATGGATATTCTATACAAAAAATGTTTGTTTGTTTGTTTGTATTTTGCTGCATTTAGATGTGGTTTTATCGTTACACTTAAGTTTTGCTTTGTTGTTTTTTGTTTGTTTTTCTATTATTTGGAATTTGCTTGCATTTTGTATCTCGCATTTCGCTTAAAAATTTCATCATATATACAATCTTGCTCACATTTTTGGGGCTGCTGGCTGAAAACACTACGAACCCACCGATCTTAAACTATAAAATAAGTTCATAAGCAACCGATTTCGTTATCCCATATTTTCGCTCCTATGATTTGTTCCGGCTTCGTAGTTGGTAAAGTAAACTAACTGACTTTTGGTTTGCAGTACATCTATATCGGTATCTAAGCACATTTAGACTGGTCTATATAGGTTGCTCTAAATGTATCGAAAAGTTCGTCGCCCTCAGCACATACACACACGCACACACACACACATTCTATATCAATTTAAGATTTAAATTCGTAAAGTTCTAAAATATTTTTGTGTAATTTTCGATTTTCGATTTTCGGTTTTTGTTTTGCTTTGTTTTGTTTTGTTTCTGTTCTTTCTACAACATCAAAAATGGACTGGACTTGGTATATATAATATTTGACTAATTTACGCCATTGAATATTTCTCTAAAAGTTCTCCCGTGTGTGTATATAGGTATATATAATATGGTGTTTTGTTACGCTCGCCCCAAATTGTTCAGTTTTTTTCAGTTTTGTATATGAAAATAATAAAAACTTTCGCCCGTTTACTTTACATTCGTGGAAAATTCATTGGAATTATTTGCATACAACTAGTTATGTTTATAAAGTAAGAATTTGACTTAGAAATTGAACGTTGAACTGAAGAGTTAATTAAGCAAGTAAAACAAAATCAAATAATACAAAAAAATCGTTCGAAAAATAATTCCTAATCGCTTTCGTTTCGTCAGTTTTGTTTTCCACTCGTCGCCACTCGATTTGTTTTAAGCAAAAAATTATTTTTTAAATAACATTTCTAATAATTAATAATTATCTGTTTGCAGTCTTTGGTTATTTAATTTTTCTTTCTTTCTTTCTTTCCTTCCCTTCTTTCTTTTCTTTTATATATCCTTTTAAATCATATATTAAATATTTTCCGTATATATATGGGGGTATATGTTCACCATCCAGCCCGCAATTTAGTTCGACCTCCCATTTGTGCCTCAGGGTTTTTGCTCGGGTAAAAACCGGGCACACGGAAAGGATCCTTAATAGTCGGGACTGGAGTCCAGGAGCCGCTTCTCCGGGGTGAGGTCACCCTTCCGCAGAATGCTCCTGGCGGCACTGCATCCATGGTCCATGGCCTTGCCATTGGCTTGGTTGAGTCCACCATCCGTAACGCCGCCGGAGAGGCTCACACCGCCGCCCAACCCGCTGCCATTCACGCCCAGCGGCACTATGGGCAGCATGCTGCTGGTGGACCCAATGCTGCCCACTCCGCCGCCGGAACCTGCTCCACCGCCACCGATGCCCTGGCAGCGGCATCCGCGTCCGGCGAACCTGCCGTAGCACTTCTCGCACAGCTTCATGCAGCCCCGCATGGGCCAGTAGAACCACAGGCAGGGCAGGAAGATCGACAGTGCGCCAAGCCAGCCCCATCTCTGGGTGCGCTTGTAGGGGCCGCAGGAGCAGGGATTATCCACGCAGGGTGTGCCGTTGCCATCATCGCAGTCCAGGTCATTGTCCCGGGCACAGTGATAGAACAGCGCCTTGGCGCAGCACAAGCAGGATGCATAGTCGATGACCGACTCGGCGCTGCACAGGCACGTCTTGTTGCACACCCACGTCTGGGGCAGCGGCCTGGGGCTCTGGCACTGCTCGCAGCGACAGCGGCCGCAACGCGGACACACGATCGGATTCAGCAGGCTGGGATCGCCGGCCATCACCAGGGGTCCTCCGTTGCCGCCGGCTCCGCCCGGCTGCAGCAGCTCCTCCAGCGCGTGCATGTGCTCCTTTTGCGTGGCGGGTGTCGGCTGCTTGGTGATGATGGGCTGGTTCATGCCGAGACCCAGTCCCAGTCCCAGGCCCATGCCCATACCCAGTCTGGGCGGTGCCGGCTGCTTCGAGGCGGGTGGTTTAGTGGTGCTATTTTGCAGGTGCGAATGTAGTAAGCCATCGGTGTGGTCGCTTCCAACGGACGTCGCCTGCGTCGTCGTCGCCAGTCGCGCATGTTGCTGCTGCTGCTGCTGCTGTTGCTGTTGCAGGTGCTGCTGCTGCTGCTGCTGCTGTTGCAGGTGCTGCTGCTGTTGCTGTTGCAGGTGCAGGTGCTGATTCCGCTGGGGCAGCAGCAGCAGATGGTGGGTGGTCGTCTGGCCATTATCCTGCTGGCCAGCCGGATGCTGCGAGCGCGTCGCATGTTGCAGCGGCGTGTCCACATACTCGTTGGTTAGCCTTTCGGATTCGGGTCGCGGTTGCGCCAGCGTGACGGGGGAGGCGGGCGGCTGGCCCAGAGCGTTGCTCACCGGCTCAGCGCTTTGGAAATGACTAAGGAAGTTGTTGTTGATGCTGTTGCTGTTGTTGTTGCTGCTGCTGCTGCTGCTGACCAGCGGTGCGGGTGCCGGCGGGCGACGTCTCGTAAAGCTCGACGACGAACCCGAACCCGAACCCGAAACCGATCCCGATCCGGAGACACTTATGCCCGTCGCCGTGGTCGAGGAGGCCGTGCTGCTGTTGCGGCTCAGACTGCTGGGGCGCTGCGGCAGGAAGGTCAGGTGGTGGATCTGATAGTCGTCGAAGTCCGGCGATGCGGGTATTATCGATATCGTGTTGTTGTTGCTCGCGGCGGCGCTAATACTAAGTTGCTGCTGTGAATTGTTGTTATGGATTGCTACGGATGTTGCAGATGATGCTACTGACGTTACTGACGCTACTGACGCTACTGATGCTACTGATGCTCCTGCGGGATGATCCACTCCGACACCACTCAACGTCGGCTCCGGCGCCCTTGGTCGATGCACGCGCGGTAATAACTTCGGGGGCCGGGGTGGCGCCAAGGGATCGCCGCCATTTCTGCGATCCATGTAGTGTTGTAACCAGGACTCCTCCCCCAGCTGCACTCCTCCACTCCTCCGCCGCTCCTCGCTCCTCGCTCCACCTCGAGATCGAGATCGCTCCTCCACCTCGAGATCCGAGATCCTCAATGCCGTCGATCGAAGTTGCTGCGCCCGGACTCGGCTCGATTTGCCTTCATCCTTTTGCAGATTCAGACAGCTGCGATTGCTTTCTGCAAACCAAGAAAATTGATATCAAATTAGCTAGATATTTTTAAATATTTTTCTAAATCCGACTGCGCTAAGCAACGCCTAAAAGTAATCCACGTTTATTTATCCAACCCCCACGGGGATGCAAGAACGCCCCAAATTGGTTTCCGCAGTTTTCCCAGTCTCAAAATGGCACGTAGATGGGTTCGCCGTGCTTATGGATAAACTCAAAATAAATAGTGAGCAGAAATAGTGGAAGTGGACGGCACGAGGGCGTGCCACTGGGTCCAAAGTACCGAATGCTTTTGTTTGGATTAAAAGTGGCTAGAAGTGAACTTTTCTTCGTCGACGGTTTAATGTTTGTAATTAATTCCGCAGCTAGGAAACCAAAGTGAGAGAAGGTCGCGCGTCATATTTATTATACGTAAACTCGTACGTATGTTATATTCTGTGCCAGATAAAGACCGTATTTTTGTATTCTGCTTATATCGGCATGACTTTAATGTAAACATCATAGGGCAACAACGCACACTGGCTTTATGATTATTATTATTATTATTATTTCGGTTCATAATGCGCTTGGGTTCAACGGAATCGGCGGGACATGATTTTTCGGAGATTGTGTTTCGTAGTTTCTAGGGAAACTGGGCTTGGCTCTGCCGCCAAATGTTTAAGATCAAATTGCTTACTTATACATATGTACATATGTATGTATATTGGAGTCGAGAGAGCGTGTTCCGTAGTACTATATGTATTGTTGTATGATCTACAAACGCTGGCGCCCTCGACTTTGCTAACCCCTATTATCTGCCTTAATTGCTTTCACCCCGCCAATCTGATTCGGCGGTTATATTAAAACAAAAAATATATTTTCGAAATTCCATTCAGCGTTCTGCTCTCGCTTTTCATGTATTTCCGCTCCGTATTACGTAGGGCCATCAAAATAAATGGAATAACTTTCATAATTGTTCGATTTGGCATATCAGAAAGAAATTAGCAATTCGCATGGGGAGTCTCGAGTCTCGAATCTCGAATCGTTTGAATCTCTGCACTGAGCACACAAGTGTATATACAACCGATCGAGAGCGAAGAACGAAGCGAATGAATAAGGAATATGATGCTAATTGAACTTTGACTGAGTACATTTTTGGGCGTTGATGATGATCATGTTGAATATGGCACGATCGCTATCGCGAAATAAAGCATTTTAATGGCGAAACAACTGCAGTTTTATGGCATGTTCTTCTCGATTTATAGCGATGCAGCAGTTAATCTGGTCAACGCGGCGTATGAGTAATGCGATAGACCGCGTACTTCGAAGTCCACGCCAGGCGTCGCGTTTAGATAAATATTTGTTTACACATAATTAAAGGCAACGAGGTGCCCCTGGCAAATAAGGAAATACAGGAAATTAGCAAATGGCGTCTCTCTTCCATAAAAATTAATAAAAGAGACAGCTGAGGGCGAAATAATAGCACTATATGAAAACCTATTTCAGAAACAAATAACATATGATGTTGTTATATTTCTCTACTAATTGATATATTAATCATTTTAATTACTTCAAAGCCAACAGTGCTCAGGCACTATTCATTTGACCACTGCTGTACATATATGCGCCGATATCTAGCGATAAAAAGCCCAAAGAATTATTATTATTATTGTGCCGCATAAAAATTGTTTTTAGCGCCAACGAAAATTTCTGCGCCCCAAAAGAAATAAATACAGAGAATATACATACATACATATATGTATGGTTAAGTGTGTGTTCCTCGGTGGGCATGAAAATTAACACAAACGCCCACTTATTGACGTCATGTCCGGTACTCAAAAACAATTTTCGAGAATGATCACAATTGGGAAAAACAAAATAGAAAATCAACGAAACACACGTCGTGGGGCGAGTGGGGGGAGGGGGCTTTTCTCGGGCAGTGGCAGTGGATCGCCACTGATTGGCAATAAGAAAATCGCGGCACAGGTCCCTCCTCTTTATATATTTGGCAATCGACTTTGCGCGGTGCGGCGAGGGGAGGTGGAAAATCTGTAAGCATCATCTCGATATTTTCCGTTCTTTGATATGCGAAATTCTAGGTAGTAAACTATTTATAAGCTTTTTTAAGAATGAACTCTGGGGGGAAGAGCTTTGATGTTATAGAGATGGGCACCGTCCAAATCGAAGTTGAGTTCATAATTATCAAATCAATTTCGCTACAAGTTGAGCCAGTAAAATTCCAATTAAGGGGTGTAAATGCGGGCGATAAAAAACATATTCAAATTGCCCAATAAAAAATAAATAAACATAATTCAAAGTTTATTTTCGCGGTCCGCTTGACGCACAGGCCCAAAGTAATGCCAAGATTTCGATTTCATTCTTAAATTAATTGGGCACAGCAGATAGAATACAAAAACATTGTACGTAATTTCAAAACAATTTGTTGCCTTTTCGTGCACTCGCTTATTTTTAATTGCGCTAAAATTCTTTTCGCTCGGCGGTACCTTTTTTATTTTGTATTTCGTATTTCGTATTTTGTATTTTGTATTTTTACGTTGGGCAAACTTTGACCTTGGATCGCCCAGCGCAGTGCCCGAATAAAAAATAAATTATTTCGCTGGCAGGGAGTGTGATTCAATGGCGCACGAAATGTGAAATGTGGCATTTGAAGCGTTTTCATTAATAAGTGAATATACGAGGGGGGGCTGAAGGTCTTTGTCGCGCGGCTAATTCATTCAAACGATTCGAAGAGATTCGCCTTTGTTGGTTTGCGTTTGTTTGTCCGTTTGTTTGGCTGTTTGCGCAAACAAGTGTCACTGCCAGTTGCGATTTAAATAAAATTATTTAAGGCGGACGGACAGCCCCACAACAGCAACACAATGCGTAGCGTTTTTATATAAAAATAAACTCTGGCGAAAATCAAATGCAAACAGGTTTTTACTTTTTACACAGCCTGCCATATTCTGGCTAATAAGCCCGATCTTTGTCCGATCTTTGGCTTATCAAGGGGGCTACGTTTGCCGTGCCAATTGTCAAATGAATTAATAAAAGTTAATGCCAGCATGACCCAATTAAATTACTCACAAGAAATCCTGACAAATTGCAAACAAAGTCATTTTTCGGCCTCTTAATTGCTGCCTCTTATTTTTAAGAGGCCTCTTCTTGTTAAGTAAACAAGGAAAATGGCCTTTTAAGCTGAAGGGAAATAAAATACAATGTACACTTACTTATAAATTGCACACACGAGGCTATGAACTCTTTTTTACTAAGCCTACTTTGTGTTATTTTTTTTAAATATTTTTTTAGCTTTAGTGCTGATCTAGAGCTTATTGACGCGTTTTTGAAGCTGTCAGCAATGACGACACGAAAAGTACGAGTTGCAATTCATTTTATCATGTCTGGAAATCGTGCTTATACTTTAATTAGGTTTAAGACAATGTTTCAACGTTCTTTCTGACTTATTTACTTTGTAGCTCTCATTACGATTTTGTGTCAAGTCCGCCAGGGCAAAAAGAACTCAACGAGTAAATGAATATTTTAGAGCATAGCCCACAGCTTGGATTCTCCCATTTTGGACTCCACTTTTACAAAAATATGTTTCTTCCAGTTCTGCTAAAAATATGTGCGGATACACACGCTCCGAGGGCAGACACACATGAGTAGATAACTGAAATGCGGAGAGCGACAGATGAAAAACCTACACAGGAAACGCTAATGACTGCAGGCAACTCGGAGGGCACAAAACGCGAATGAGAAGACTGAAACTGAAGCGGGAATCGCTTGATGCTGCTGCTGCTGCTGCTGCTTCTGCTGCCACGACAACAACACCGAGCACAGATCATTAAACTATTTAAATGCCCAACCGACCATATGTTGCAGCCGCAGCAGCAGCATCAGCAGCAGCAGCAGCAGCGGGAGCAGCTAATAGTTTTCAAAGCAAATGAGCAGCACATGTGGCAAAGGGCTCACGCACACCAGCGCAGCGGCCAGATGTGTGTGTGTGTGCTAATGATATATACACCAAAGTCGCCCTGAATGATAATTATCATAATGATGATGATGTTCATTCTCGTGTCTGGAATGGTTCGCTTCGGGTTTTCCTCACTTTTATAGAAATCATTGAAGCCAACTCTGGCCGAGATCGGAGTGGAGTGTGTGGCGTGGAGGGGGCTTCGCAGGGGCGGAGGAGCCGAGAAGAAGCAAAAGATCAAATCACCAACAAATGAGCCGAGCCAAGAAGATGCCATCAACTGGCGGCCCAGACAACGGTCGACCGCTCAGAGATGTCGCCAATGGGAACTGGTTCAGGCCAGGCAGTGCCCCTATAATTGGAGTTTACTCAGTTCGTTTTTATAAACAATGGCATACTTAAGAAGGTGTGTATAGAGGGAGTTCAGTGGTTAAAAATTGAAAAACCATGGACTTAGGAGCTGCTTAAATTCCTGTAGCATCAGAAATAACTTAATACATATGAGCTCTCAAGTTAAATGATATAGCATTGAAAACGAACTAGTTTCCGTAAACCAATCAGCATCTCTCCCCGTTTTCCCTGGCTTATAACGCTGGTCTGTTGTCTGGTCTGGTTCGATCTGGTCTATAGGTCTAGAGATCGGCGAAGGGTAAGCGGCAGGAGGAGGAGGAGGAGAAGCCCATAAACTACAAGTGATCGACCTTAAGATTTTCTCGGCCTGATTGTCTGCGTCCCGTCGGATCTGCGTTTTCTCTAGGCTACAGCATCGCATCACCGTGTATTCCGTATCGCATGGTATCGTATGGCATGGTATGTATGGTGCTGTGTGCGTAAAGTAGGTAGATTCAGGTAGAATTCGAATTCTCTGCCGTGCGTTGTAATGACTGAAGTGAGTTGCAGTTAAGTGGCAGCCAAAAAGGAAGCTGCAACATGTGTTGCCTCGCCATCTCGCCATCTCGCCTCTCTTTCTGCCCCATGCAAGTGCGTAAGTGGTGTTCCATTGTGTGTTGCACCTTTTGTCCGGCCACGCACAACAGCAACAACAACAGCAACAACAACAG